TAGGGAAACTGTAGCAGTTTCCCCTAAAAGCAGATCAAAGTCTCCTGAGTTTGGAGGTAGGCTGGAAGGAGGCTAAAGGGTGGTGGTCTAACAACAGAGTTGTGGAGTTTTAACCTTTGCCAGTTCTGGACCCTCAGGTGAGATGGGGAGAGTCCAGCAGGAGTTAAATGGCAACGACTTAAGCCGCAGGGAGAGAAGAAGCTCAAAAATCACAGTAGGTCCTGCATCTGGAAGCTAAGGAATACAAGTTCCATGACAGTTTTCCTCCAGCAGATACCAGATTTTTACATTAAGAAACATGTCTCTGGAAAACCAGTTGGACATTAAAGATCATCTCTTTCAGTTCCTTAATGCAGAACTAATGAAGAGCTTTTTCATATCTCACATACCACAATTCAATCCCACTACCTGCTTATAATTATTTAATGATTTTATTATTAGAAATTGTCCATTGACTTATTCAGTCTTGATTGCTGCCTTGATCTGATCATTATGTTGTGTCATTCTGTATGAGTCATGTATATAACAGTAATTGGACATCACTGACATGTTTGCATAATTCTGTATTTGCTTTCTGGTGCTTGTAATAAAGTCTGTAAAGAACACTTGCTTATTCCTTCAGCTCATAATGAAGCCACATACCCCAGATGCAAGGTATTTAATCTAGGATATTTGAGGGAATTCTGGCTTTGTCTTCATGTTCCTGCATTTGCCGTGACATGCATTTTTCATTAAAGGTCTAAGATGCATTGACTGAGAAGCAAACCTGCTCTAGGGTAGGACTAAGCTGATCTCAGGGCTTTCAATTCCACCACTAAAAGGAGAAAAATATGGGAGGAAAAGGTAGGAGGAATGGCTAAGGAATGGACCCCTATTTGGAATGCTGCTTCTTGTTTTAAGTTTCAAAGGGGGTCAAAGCTGAATGTTTTTTTCTGTCATCTAATGAGTCTCTTTTTTGAGATTTCAAAATATTTTTTTCTTTGCATTGGAACCCCTGCCATTTTGTCCCTGCAACAAAGAGAATTGTGGCCATTTGTCTGAGACTTCGGAGTTGTAGCCATGACCATGTTGCCTGACACTCATCTGTCAGGGTCACATCATCTTCCTGATGCACATATGCAAGATCAAAGGCAAAACTGAGACTATAAAAGCTATTCTTTTAATCAAACTGTGCCGTGCTCCACTGCAGCCTGGTAAGATGTCCTCAGGGGTGATGTCCTCAGGTATTGCTGTGTTTAAGTCCCCACCCTGCCAAGCTTTCACACCCCTTTCACAGCGTGAATACTTCAATCCCTGCATTTTCTGTCCAGTGATAAGTAAATAATTTACAAAAAGTGGAAGGCCTCTAAAACTTAGAGAGACTAATTCATTGGGATGGTTTCCCCAGATATGGGGGCAGGAGCTCAGCTTTGGGGTGTGGAGCAGGGCAGAATGTGCACATGTACTTGCTGCAGCCTAGAAGAGACAGGTGCAGGGGTTTAATTTCTTCCAGCCTTCTGTTTTGTTTGTTTGTTTTAGCATAAGTTCCTCAATCAAGGAGAACTTCATTGAAGCTGAAATCTTCTAAAGGAAAATCCAGCAAACCACCATTTTACTCTTCCTAAAGCTGAAATGTTCCTTTTACTGACAAATGTCTTGTTGAGAGTGTTAGTCCTATCAACTCCTTGATCTTACTTTTCTCTTTTCCATTTTACAGATCCACTTTGTCAAGGTGTTGCAATGCCCCTGCCTTTCTCTTCACCACCCAGAAAAACACCCCTTTGGGAACTAAACTGAAATATGAAGTGGATACTAGTGGGATCTTCCATATCAACCAAGAGATCTTCAAGATGTTCCCAAAGGTGCCTCATGCCTCTGTCCATTTGCAGTCAGCTTCACTCTACTTGCTGCATTAGATGCTATCCTATAGCCAAGCATTTGTCAGTTGGCTGCTTGACATTTCTATAAGCTTCATTGCTTATGCTTTGAAAATGTTTAATTTTGCATATGATATAGTAGCTGATTATCCTATTTTCTAGTAGTCATCTGATACCTATATATAAGTACACACACACACATATATGTATACATTCACTTATATTTTCCTGCAAAGTATTGCTGATCTAGCAGTGAAGTAGCTAATTAAATAACTTAAGAAAGCTAAATAGAAGGCATTTACTGATCAGAAGTACTAAAAAGTACTTATATACAGTAAGTCCAACATTTGGGTTAGATCTGCTCTTTTAGGGTCATGATTTTTTTATAATTCATATTCACAATGACTAGCTACTTTAACACTTTTTTTCCTGTTTTTGTCTTCTCTGTGAGCAGGCTGTAGAATTTTTCTTTTTTTTTTTTTTTTTTTTTTTTTTATCACAAAGATTCTTTAAAACGTTTTCAGTAAAGAATCCTTGACCTGAGGGTCACTCAAAGTTATAAGCAGTGGGCAATTCCCATTGCACATGGGGAGTGATGTGCAGAAATGGGCTCATGTGAATCCTGGGTTATTGTGGGGTTCACCTCATGAATTTAGAATGGCATATTTGGAGGGGATAACTAAAATTTATCCCTTTAAGAAAAGTAACCAACTTAAGTCCTTAGATTTGTGTCCTTAACATTGTTCTTCAGGATCTGAACACTTTTGATCTGTTTGTTTTCTGAACACGACTAAGAGGAAGGGTAGTGCTGCTACCTAAATGTGCACAAGGGGAACTGGGGCAGAGCAGGGGAAAAACTCAGATCCAGGAAAGCACTTTGTCATCTAGACATACAGGAAGAGTGGGTACACCTAAATCTAGAAGTGTATAATCCTCAAAACCCTGCCTGATTGCACAGGCAATGCTTATGCTTTTGCTGGGAGTGTCCTGTAGCTGCTGTTTTATGTATCCAGGGATGCCCTGAGGATGCTTCCAAGGTGCTCCCACATGCCAAAGTGACTTTGGGAGCAGCTTTGTGGCCAAAGCCACCCCCTGCCTTGGAGCATGGCAAGTGTAGGAGATAAAGGCAAATGCAGGAGACACAGGGCTGAAAGCACAGGAGCAAGACTGTAAGGGCAAGAGCCTTGTGCTGAGTGTGGAGACTTGGCTTCTGATCCCCACTTTCAGGACTGCCAAGGCATTTTGTGTTAAGGAATTGCTGGATAAAGCACGGACAACTCTACAACGCCCCTGCTAGACAGCTGCTGTTTTCTCAGCCAGGTGTAACTGCATGCCCTTCTGCCTCATGGCATACCAGTGCCGTGGACAGATCCTGCCTGGGAACAATCACCTAGAAATGTCATGCCACCACCGCGCCGCTCTGTAGTTTGCAGTATGAAGTTATTGATAAAATATGTATGTACCCAAACGAGCACTCTCATACTTATATAAGCACATTTCTGCATATTTATGAGGTGTAGCTTGGGCTTGGTTCTGCTTCACAACCCCCTCACCCTCACAGCCCAGTTCTGTTCTCAGAGACATGATTTTCACTCTCTCCTGCTCCAGCAGCAGCTGGATGTCTGCCTGTGGAGACAGAGCTTTGCCTGAAGATTGTGGAATGGTGTGTCCTACACCAGTCTAGAAAGGTGCCTGACTGAAGGTTCTAGGCCCTGCTGGTAGCACAAGCAGTAATGATATTAGTGTAGTTAGTGGAAGCAAGCACTAAGATTTGGGCTAGGTTCTGATTCATCACTGTAATGTGCTGCCTGATTTGGAGAGACTTGCAGGGCTTTACTGGCTGCTCTGGGACTGTGTGTGCAGACTTCCCTGAAGCAGGACATCAGAGCCTGTGGAAGGAGAGGTTTGCAGGCAGCTGAGAAGGCAATGCCTGGGGTAGGATAACTTCATGGATCATGCCCTCATGTGGGAATCAGAAGGGACAGCAAGCATCCTCCACCCTGCCCAGAGTCCTTCAGCTGACTCATTTAAATCAGTTCAGTGGAGTACTCACACACCAGGAATGCAGCCTGTGTTTTGAGGGATTGTCCTCTGTGGGAGTGCTGCAGCCCTTTCTCCAGCCAGATTCAGGAGTACCAAACCCAGCGCATTTGCATTGTACATGGACAGCAATAGAGATGCTGAGAAGTCACCTCTCTTGGTCGTTATTTCTCCATCCTCCTTCTTACCTTGTTGTGTTTCCAGGACATTTCTCAGCAAGAACAGACCACTGGCACAGTTTTAGGCAACAAAAGACTCTTTTCACAGAAACAGAAGCTTTTCTAATCTTGTCCTTTCTCTGCTCTAAAGACCTGTATTTAGACCTCTGACAAGGTGCCTAATTAGTTGTCGTGGCTATTATTGTATTTCTAATTCAGGAGGACATAATTTCTAATTTAGTGAGTAACTCCTGCCACCTTTTCTGCTGGACTGCTGGACCATGAAGAGAAGCAGCCACACCACCTCACCCAGCCATCTCAGTCAGGTGGCTTTAGAGTCCCGGCACCAGGATTATTGGTTCCCTAGGGAAAGGGAACTGTGGTTCCCTGATGGAAAGCCATGACCAAGAACTAGTCAAAATGCAACTTAAACACACCAAAGAAGTGCCCAGGGCATTTCTTACTGCATCTACAATGTAACATGGCCTCAGCAGACCAGAGACACTGGCCCTTCCAAGCCTGCTGAATTGGTACCTAAGCAACTGTGTTAATTATTTTCCCCTGTCAGTCACTTTCTTCTATTGACTCAAGTATTTTGTTGAGTTTTCCAGAGTGGAGACTGTGTCTGTTTGTCTGTAAAGCACTTAGCACAGTGAGCTTTTCCATGGCCTGTTGTCCTTTAGTCCCATGCAGCTGCAGATGTTCCACTGACACAAGGATTTCCCCTCCTCCTTCAAACACAGGGAATGAGAATAGGGAGGGGGTCAACCCTTTGAATTACAGACTTTAATATGCATGGGCTGTAATGTCTCTGATTCAAAGCTGCCTGCCACAATGCAATACATCTGTGCTGGAATGGAAACACAGTCCTTTTAGAATAAAGTTCACTACACTAACTACCATATTTCAGAAATTTTATTTCACTAAGCCAGCACCTCAAATTCTAATTCAGCAAAGGTCCTGGTGGCACAGACGTGGCCCATAACTTGAACATGGGGAGCTCTAAGCATTGAGTAACGTGACATGCCCAAGTCATGGATGTGAATAAGAGCTTATGTTTGACCATGTATCCCAGTAGAAAACTCCTCTGGATCTGGGAAGTGAATAAATCCTTTAGTGTGAGGGTGGTGAGATGCTGGCCCAGGTTGCCCAGAGAAGCTGTGGCTGCCCCATCCCTGGCAGTGTTGAAGGGCAGGTTGGATGGGGCTTGGAGCAGCCTGGGCTGGTGGGAGGTGTCCCTGCCCATGCAGGGGGTTGGAACTGGATGATCTTGAAGGTCCCTTCCCACTCAAACCAGTCTGGGATTCTATGATTCTATGTTTCTGAAATTACTTATTCCATTATTAAGTCTGGGCAAAACCAGGTTATTGCTTTTTGTCCCTGTGGCTTAGTCCCCCCTCCTAATTGCACAGACAGCAATCCCATCCATTTACATGCACCAGGGGAATATTGCAGGCCAGAACCAGCATCAGCTTCCTGTGATTAAGCGCATCTGCAGCAACGTGCATTAAGAAAATAAAAAGGAAAGAGTAAAAACAGGACTTGTTGCCTCCGTGTCTTGGGATATTCAGCCATTTCCTTGCTGTGATCTTGCAGGATATGCCATACCACCGCTCCCAGTTTAAGAAATGTGCCGTGGTTGGGAATGGAGGAATTCTGAAGAACAGCAGATGTGGCCGGGAGATCGACAGCGCAGACTTCGTGTTCCGGTAACCACCACAGCTCTGCTTTTCCCTTTGCCTGTCTTAATGGCATGTAAAGGATTGCAAAGCTATTCTCTCTCACCTGGAAATGTGGGATTTGACAAACTGGCCAAATCAAGCTTGCTTCTTGCACAGGAAGTGATGTTTTTTTTAAAAAAACAAACACACCACCATATATTTATTTAAAAATGATGCTTTGAAAAGTTGTTTCTTCCTAACTCCCTGAGGTCAATCACTGGCTTTCTTTTGGCAAAGTTTTATGTCCTCTTCCAGGGCATTGTGGATTTATCCTTCTGTGGGCAGCTGCCCATGAGCAGTAACCTATGAATGTGGCCATGATTTTCCAGGGCAGTTCTGGACCTGAGGCAGAACCTCTATTGTGTGTCAAGCAGCTTGGCCAGATGTTAATATCTCCATGCTGTGCAGCTGGGATGCCTCAGAGGTGTGTTTCCCAAGTGGCACAGAGCTCAAGTGTTGCAATAATCAATGGAGTGGGGTTGAGCTGGAGGCCTGAAGCCAACAGTGTGCCCCAGGGGTCAGTGCTGGGTCCAGTCCTGTTCAATGTCTTCGTCAATGACCTGGGTGAGGGGACAGAGTTTATCCTCAGCAAGTTAATTGATGATACCAAGCTGGGAGGGGTGGTGACACACCAGAGGGGCTGTGCTGACATCCAGGGTGACCTGGACAGGCTGGAGAGCTGGGCAGAGAGGAACCTAATGAGGTTCAACAAGGGCAAGTGGAGGGTCCTGCATCTGGGGAGGAAGAACCCCAAGCACCCACAGAGGTTAGGGGTGGACCTCCTGGAGACCAGTTCTGAGGGGAAGGACCTGGGAGTCCTGGTAGACAATAAATGATCCATGAGCCAGCAAAGTGCTCTTGTTCCAAGAGGACCAGTGGAATCCTGGGGTGCATAAGGAAGAGTGTGGCCAGGAGGTGGAGGGAGGTCATTCTGCCCCTCTACTCCTCCTGGTGAGGCCACAGCTGGAGAACTGGGACCAGTTTTGGGCTCCCCAGTTCAGGAGAGACAGGGAACTGCTGGAGAGAGTCCAGGGGAGAGTGACAAAGATGATGGGGGGATTGGAGCATCTCTCTTATGAGGAAAGGCTGAGAGAGCTGGGACTGTTCAGCCTGGAGAGGAGAAGGCTGAGGGGAGACCCGATCAATGCCTACAAGTATTTCAGGGTGGGTGCAGGAGGATGGAGCCAGACTCTGCTCAGTAGTTCCCAGGGACAGGACGAGGGGCAACGGGCACAAGCTGGAACATGGGAAGTAACACTGAAATAAGAGGAGAAACTTCTTTGCTGTGAGGGTGACAGAGCCCTGGGACAGGCTGCCCAGGGAGGCTGTGGAGTCTCCTTCTCTGGAGATGTTCAAAACCCCCCTGGATGCAGCCCTGAGGAATGTGCTCCAGGGGATCCTGCTTTCGTGGGGAAGTTGGGCTGGATGATCTCTAGAGCTCTCTTCCAACTTTGACAATTGTGTGTGACTCCAGGGTGTGCAGTGACACCTGAATAACTCTGAAGGTTGAGTGTCTTCCTGCTGTGCTCCCCACCCCATCTGGAGTTGTCCAGGTTTTGCATAGGCTGGGTTGTCCCACGACTTGTGTCCCAGGACTTTAGCAGCACTTTTATAATCCTTAATATAGATGGGAAAGATGTTTTTATTATTCATATGCATGACTAATCCCTCTCTGAATCCTGTTAAGCTCTTTGCCTGGGTCATGGCATATGACAGCTAACTCACAGATGTATGACCTGTTCTATAGAAAAGAAAAACCTTTTTACTCCTCTTGGCCTATTTTCTGACCCTGGGTACATTGCTGTCAGTTTAGAATAACTGTGCATAAATCAATTAATTTCTCTGATTTCATACCAGCAAAAAATAGATCAGATTTGCACTCATTGCATTCTTAATTTAATTTGGCATAAAATGAGAAATAAAATTTTACGGTTCCTACCTTCACTATTCCTTGTTTTCAGGCCCCTGTGTCTGCCTCTTGTGCCCACTTTATAGAAAACTATTGTCTTAGTTTTAATCCATGAAACAGTCCAGGCTTCACATAATTTGCTTCTTAAAAGCCTTGTATGCCCCATATGCATTAAATAATTATTGTAGATTCCCTTCTATTATGTTGGATCACAGCTACCAGTGTGGTTGAAAGGAGTGGTACCTGTTCCACATGGAGATGACAAGCTGTTGAGTGACAGTGAAAATATGTGCAGCAAATACTGTTTATGCATAAGAACTACCAGTGAAGGTGCCTTTTTAACACTCTCACTCTTCCTAGAACCTAAACTGATTCAAAGAGCAGACCAGATCACTACAGAACTGAGAAGCTGGGTTGCTTTTGCTACCAGTATTTGATTAAATAAAAAGCTTAAGTATAACTGGATTATGTATAAATGCATCCAGTACTTGTAGAAAAGAAACCCCAGGTTCCTGATCTTCAGAACATGTGGGACTAGTGTTATGCACAAAGATGTGCAGTTGTTTAAGAGCTGAAGGTCTGCTGAGATAATTTTTAACATAAAGCCTGCGTTTAAGGTCAGGTCTGAGCATATTGACTTCCCAGTCTAGCACCAGTTCACCCAGCTGCCAGGAATCACCATCTTGGTCACCAAGGAAATAATTCTTTACCATGTTTCAGAAACTGCCAGGGGAGCACTGCTTGCATTCAGTCATACCTTCAAGACACCTGGGAAGATCTTGTGCTGTCAGGAACCTTCTGTCCAGGAGGGTGCAACCAGGATTTTTCTATGAAATTAATTCTGATAGCAGTTAACTATAGTACATTACAACATGTAAAATACACACACGACTTGCATTTTCTAGTTGTTACTGTCTATCTCCATCTACTGGCCAGAGAAGAGATCTGTGATGAAACTTGGGGTGCATTTGGAGATGGGACTGTTCTTTTTGCAGGGATGAATTCTTAGGATCTTATGGCAAAAGTACAGTTTATGCAGATTGTAGAATTTTTATGAGGAATTGCCACTTTCAAGGAATTCAGTCTCTCTTAATCCTGGTGGGAGTTCAAAAATGTTGAAGCTTAAATTTGGAAACCTTTTTCAACTATAATCTAATGAGCACAGTCCCCAGTGCTGGGTGGAACTGAGGATGCTAAGGGACTCCAGAAGGACACTGGATGACCTAGCAGGGCAAAGTTCAGGAAACAACATTGCCTAAGAGAAGGATGAAAGGCTAAAAGAGAAGGATAATGGCTAAAAAAAGTCTCTGACCTGATGAAGAGAAGGTAGATGCAAACTTCCTGAGTCTGAGAAGGACTATCTAGGATTTTTGTACATTCCTCTGCCCCCCCCCCCACCATGTCCTCTTACCTTCCATACCTTCAAAGTTTTCTCCTATTTAGCTCAGATCTACAGAAATATGGAGGGATTTGGGAATTAGGCACAGCAGTATTTTTGAACCGTGGGGATCTTAGTAGTGATGGCTTTTATTGTGGCTTGTAGGTCAGTTTTCAAAACGTCTGTATTTCAGATATCTAACTCCAGATTAAACTGTGTGTAAAACCAGTAGCAAGGCCGCCCATGTTGCCTCTGGTAACACATGCTGAAGCCTTTTTTGTAGCTGGGTTTCCTATTGGATGAGAAGCTTGTTTCAGTAACTTTAGCATCTCTTGAGGGATGCTCTAAATTTTGTGAGAGGATGAATCTAGATCAAGGCCAAGGTGAGCGGGGGCTGGGCAAAGTCAAGGTTTTCAGATCTTCACAAGTTTGCTCCTAATAGCTTTGACATTCTCTGATGAATCTGTAGAGTCAGAATTGCTGCTCTTACACTGTGCTGAGAGTTAGGTATAAAGGGAAGCAGAAAGTTTTGGATTATTTAGGACTGAGCTGCTTTGTCCCTTGTGGATCATTTTCCATAAATTCTCTCGAGTAAAAACCAAGGCATGTTAAAGGCAATGTTATAGGTATAGTTCCTGTATTAATTACTGAATACAGCTCAGCTGATGCTGAGGTAGTTCCAGATTTTATAGGTTGGCTGTCCTTGGAGCTTCATCCCATTTCTTGTCCTAAACCGCTAGAGTAAATAAACTTGCTATTATGGAAAGAAAATGAGTGAACATTGGCTACATCTTCAAGAAGGGGTCAGCTCTGACAGACTCAGGGAAGACGAGAGGTCTTCATGCAGCCCCTAGGAACTTGTTACTTTAATGCCCAGTTTGGGCATCAGCACGTTTAATGCAATTTAAAAATCTCAACCTGTTTCTATGTTTGTTGCTTGGGAGAAATCCTTATATCAGTTTTGCTTTCTAGTCCCCAAAAGGTACAATGAGTTTTTAAACTTTCTTACTACTTTCTTTCCCTTATAGATGCAATTTGCCTCCTATATCTGAGAAATACTTCATGGATGTTGGGGTGAAGACGGATGTTGTGACTGTCAATCCCAGTATAATTACTGAGAGGTCATTTCTGGTTTTTTTTTCTATTTTCAGGCCACAGCTGGAGAACTGGGACCAGTTTTGGGCTCCCCAGTTCAGGAGAGACAGGGAACTGCTGGAGAGAGTCCAGGGGAGAGTGACAAAGATGATGGGGGGATTGGAGCATCTCTCTTATGAGGAAAGGCTGAGAGAGCTGGGACTGTTCAGCCTGGAGAGGAGAAGGCTGAGGGGAGACCCGATCAATGCCTACAAGTATTTCAGGGTGGGTGCAGGAGGATGGAGCCAGACTCTGCTCAGTAGTTCCCAGGGACAGGACGAGGGGCAACGGGCACAAGCTGGAACATGGGAAGTAACACTGAAATAAGAGGAGAAACTTCTTTGCTGTGAGGGTGACAGAGCCCTGGGACAGGCTGCCCAGGGAGGCTGTGGAGTCTCCTTCTCTGGAGATGTTCAAAACCCCCCTGGATGCAGCCCTGAGGAATGTGCTCCAGGGGATCCTGCTTTCGTGGGGAAGTTGGGCTGGATGATCTCTAGAGCTCTCTTCCAACTTTGACAATTGTGTGTGACTCCAGGGTGTGCAGTGACACCTGAATAACTCTGAAGGTTGAGTGTCTTCCTGCTGTGCTCCCCACCCCATCTGGAGTTGTCCAGGTTTTGCATAGGCTGGGTTGTCCCACGACTTGTGTCCCAGGACTTTAGCAGCACTTTTATAATCCTTAATATAGATGGGAAAGATGTTTTTATTATTCATATGCATGACTAATCCCTCTCTGAATCCTGTTAAGCTCTTTGCCTGGGTCATGGCATATGACAGCTAACTCACAGATGTATGACCTGTTCTATAGAAAAGAAAAACCTTTTTACTCCTCTTGGCCTATTTTCTGACCCTGGGTACATTGCTGTCAGTTTAGAATAACTGTGCATAAATCAATTAATTTCTCTGATTTCATACCAGCAAAAAATAGATCAGATTTGCACTCATTGCATTCTTAATTTAATTTGGCATAAAATGAGAAATAAAATTTTACGGTTCCTACCTTCACTATTCCTTGTTTTCAGGCCCCTGTGTCTGCCTCTTGTGCCCACTTTATAGAAAACTATTGTCTTAGTTTTAATCCATGAAACAGTCCAGGCTTCACATAATTTGCTTCTTAAAAGCCTTGTATGCCCCATATGCATTAAATAATTATTGTAGATTCCCTTCTATTATGTTGGATCACAGCTACCAGTGTGGTTGAAAGGAGTGGTACCTGTTCCACATGGAGATGACAAGCTGTTGAGTGACAGTGAAAATATGTGCAGCAAATACTGTTTATGCATAAGAACTACCAGTGAAGGTGCCTTTTTAACACTCTCACTCTTCCTAGAACCTAAACTGATTCAAAGAGCAGACCAGATCACTACAGAACTGAGAAGCTGGGTTGCTTTTGCTACCAGTATTTGATTAAATAAAAAGCTTAAGTATAACTGGATTATGTATAAATGCATCCAGTACTTGTAGAAAAGAAACCCCAGGTTCCTGATCTTCAGAACATGTGGGACTAGTGTTATGCACAAAGATGTGCAGTTGTTTAAGAGCTGAAGGTCTGCTGAGATAATTTTTAACATAAAGCCTGCGTTTAAGGTCAGGTCTGAGCATATTGACTTCCCAGTCTAGCACCAGTTCACCCAGCTGCCAGGAATCACCATCTTGGTCACCAAGGAAATAATTCTTTACCATGTTTCAGAAACTGCCAGGGGAGCACTGCTTGCATTCAGTCATACCTTCAAGACACCTGGGAAGATCTTGTGCTGTCAGGAACCTTCTGTCCAGGAGGGTGCAACCAGGATTTTTCTATGAAATTAATTCTGATAGCAGTTAACTATAGTACATTACAACATGTAAAATACACACACGACTTGCATTTTCTAGTTGTTACTGTCTATCTCCATCTACTGGCCAGAGAAGAGATCTGTGATGAAACTTGGGGTGCATTTGGAGATGGGACTGTTCTTTTTGCAGGGATGAATTCTTAGGATCTTATGGCAAAAGTACAGTTTATGCAGATTGTAGAATTTTTATGAGGAATTGCCACTTTCAAGGAATTCAGTCTCTCTTAATCCTGGTGGGAGTTCAAAAATGTTGAAGCTTAAATTTGGAAACCTTTTTCAACTATAATCTAATGAGCACAGTCCCCAGTGCTGGGTGGAACTGAGGATGCTAAGGGACTCCAGAAGGACACTGGATGACCTAGCAGGGCAAAGTTCAGGAAACAACATTGCCTAAGAGAAGGATGAAAGGCTAAAAGAGAAGGATAATGGCTAAAAAAAGTCTCTGACCTGATGAAGAGAAGGTAGATGCAAACTTCCTGAGTCTGAGAAGGACTATCTAGGATTTTTGTACATTCCTCTGCCCCCCCCCCCACCATGTCCTCTTACCTTCCATACCTTCAAAGTTTTCTCCTATTTAGCTCAGATCTACAGAAATATGGAGGGATTTGGGAATTAGGCACAGCAGTATTTTTGAACCGTGGGGATCTTAGTAGTGATGGCTTTTATTGTGGCTTGTAGGTCAGTTTTCAAAACGTCTGTATTTCAGATATCTAACTCCAGATTAAACTGTGTGTAAAACCAGTAGCAAGGCCGCCCATGTTGCCTCTGGTAACACATGCTGAAGCCTTTTTTGTAGCTGGGTTTCCTATTGGATGAGAAGCTTGTTTCAGTAACTTTAGCATCTCTTGAGGGATGCTCTAAATTTTGTGAGAGGATGAATCTAGATCAAGGCCAAGGTGAGCGGGGGCTGGGCAAAGTCAAGGTTTTCAGATCTTCACAAGTTTGCTCCTAATAGCTTTGACATTCTCTGATGAATCTGTAGAGTCAGAATTGCTGCTCTTACACTGTGCTGAGAGTTAGGTATAAAGGGAAGCAGAAAGTTTTGGATTATTTAGGACTGAGCTGCTTTGTCCCTTGTGGATCATTTTCCATAAATTCTCTCGAGTAAAAACCAAGGCATGTTAAAGGCAATGTTATAGGTATAGTTCCTGTATTAATTACTGAATACAGCTCAGCTGATGCTGAGGTAGTTCCAGATTTTATAGGTTGGCTGTCCTTGGAGCTTCATCCCATTTCTTGTCCTAAACCGCTAGAGTAAATAAACTTGCTATTATGGAAAGAAAATGAGTGAACATTGGCTACATCTTCAAGAAGGGGTCAGCTCTGACAGACTCAGGGAAGACGAGAGGTCTTCATGCAGCCCCTAGGAACTTGTTACTTTAATGCCCAGTTTGGGCATCAGCACGTTTAATGCAATTTAAAAATCTCAACCTGTTTCTATGTTTGTTGCTTGGGAGAAATCCTTATATCAGTTTTGCTTTCTAGTCCCCAAAAGGTACAATGAGTTTTTAAACTTTCTTACTACTTTCTTTCCCTTATAGATGCAATTTGCCTCCTATATCTGAGAAATACTTCATGGATGTTGGGGTGAAGACGGATGTTGTGACTGTCAATCCCAGTATAATTACTGAGAGGTCATTTCTGGTTTTTTTTTCTATTTTCATCTCTACTAGTTTTCCAAATCTACCTTTCACTGAGTTCCAATTGTTACACAGATTTCCCCCCCCCCAGTATTACTTTAAACTGACACTATGAGTCATAATTTCATGCTCAAAGGAAGTTATCTAGCATATGGAACCTGTAACAACTTATAGAAATGTGTTAAACACTTTGACTGGCACATTGGTGATAGAAAGCTAGAATTAATGAACAGCAGAGCTTTCCTTCCCCTGGAAGTCTTGTGCCATGCTTCCAAGCCCCAGCCAAATGCCTAAGAAACATTTAGGGTGGAAGCAACTGAATCCGACCCTAAATTCTAAAATATAGTAGCACACATTATCATGTTTTTAAAGAAATGTCAGTTAAACTTTTTAGCCAGGATTGACTGAGCAATTTTAATTTTAAATTGGTTAGTACCTTCATGCCACCTGGCTGAGAGGTTTGGGACCATGGGGATAATCATCACTTTCCTTTCATGCTGGGGAAGACGTTTCTTTTCTCAAGCAACGTAAAATAATTTTCTTGCATTGTGGATTTCTTTTTAAATGTTACAGTGAGACATTTTAGAGATATTTTTGCTCTGCTTTGGCATTTGCCACTTTTTTTATATAGCTCTACCCTGCATAACAAACTACAGAGCCAGCCAAACCCTGGAAAAAATTGCATAGTACTTGTAACAAAATGCAAAGTGAGACATTGTCAGAAATGTTTGCAAAGTTTGCCCACAGTATTGCCAAAAGAGGGGAGAAGATGTATTATTTTATTTTATTTTTATCCCCTGTGTTTTTGCCCTACACTTTGTGCTGATGCTTCAGGTACTGATCTAAACATATTCCTGTCGTGAACCGGAACATCATTTAAACGCTGCCTCCATCAGACACGTTTCAGGAAAGGGGGTTTCTTCTGTTTCTTCTTCTTTCTGTTGGGGGTTTCTTCCCTGCCGGATCTGACCCTCACATCCTTTCCCCCTCCGGCAGGTTCCATAAGCTGGAGAAATGGAGGAAACCCTTCTACAACGTCCTCCAGGTCTACGAGAACGCCTCCGTGCTGCTGCCAGCTTTCTACAACACCCGCAACACGGACGTTTCCATCCGGGTCAAATATGTCCTGGATGACTTTGAATCCCAGCAAGCTGTTTATTACTTTCACCCCCAGTATCTCATCAACGTCTCCCGCTACTGGCTCGGCCTGGGGGTGCGGGCCAAGCGGATCAGCACGGGGCTGATCCTGGTGACTGCTGCCCTGGAGCTCTGTGAAGAGGTCCACCTTTTTGGCTTCTGGGCCTTCCCCATGAACCCCTCAGGGATTTTTATAACTCACCACTATTACGACAATGTGAAACCTCGCCCTGGTTTTCATGCTATGCCCTCAGAAATTTTCAACTTCCTCCACATGCACAGCAAGGGGATCCTACGGGTTCATACAGGGACCTGTAGCTGCTGTTGACAGGGGCACTTCTTCCTCTGGCACAAAAGTGTGGCAGGAAGCTGATGCCTCTGTGTGGTGTGGGAAGTTTTATTACACCCCGAGATTATGCAATAATTGTTTGATATCAGTTTCCTCAAGGCATTGCACCCCATAGGATCCCAGCATTTTTCCTGCTAGCAGTTTGGGTCCATAACAGTGTAGGAGAAGCAAAACTCCTCTCTCCCAGGGTATACACTGCCTTGGAAACCAAGTCAGATTAGAGGCACATTTCCAATAGGTTTAGGGGTAAACAGAGCACATTAGTATAGTTATAATTTCACTACAAAGAAAAGCACCAAACTTTTGAGGAGAATCAGTGATGGAGATTTTTAGCATAGACTTTACATCCATTGCTGAATCAAGTACCTTGAGGCATTGCCTGATTTTATTGAAAGCACTGTTCTCATGTATTTGGGGTTTTGAAAATACTCTCTAGCATTATACTTTTAAGGGGAATTATGTAAGTTGAGCTCTTTGTTCTGTGTAATCACAAAGTATTGGGGAAAAACAGCAGACTGATGTGATAGGAATAAAGAAGGTCACTCAGTGAAATTTTTCAGCCAGGATAGAAGCTCCTATTCAGAGCAGCAGCTAACTGTGCTGATTATATTGTGCAATTATTTTAGAGTTTCTTTCTTCTTCATTCTTGTGTTTTCTATTTCTGATCCCCTCTGCTGATTATGTTTTCTTTCTCATTGTCTGTAAGGCTTTCCCACTAGCTAATGCCTGAGCAATGTGTGTGCTTTCTCCTGCAGTGACCATCTCAGCTTCAGATTGGAGTCCTTACTGAAGAAACATGCTCCTTCACACTTCTGCAAGTTGTTCTTGGGCTGAATGGCAAGGGGACTACCATAGTTATATTTTCTGACTTGATTATTTTGGTTCAAATACCACAGCATGAGATAGGAAAAAAAAGAAATTTGATCTTTTATTTTTATTAAAGACTTGGTAAGAGTATCTGAATGCTGGTTCACAGTTGTGCAGGCTGAGTTAAAGGCTTTCAGGTATCTGTGATAAGTACTGGTAGGAAATGAAGTTAAATTACAGTGAAGATACTTTATTACTTGGATTATTATGCTTATTTTAAAATTACGTATCTCAAGATGTCATGTGTCTTAACATGGCATTTTTATGTGTAGAGAATGTTGTTAGGAGAGTAAAAGGGCTGGTGTATTCTTTGAAACGTTACCAATGTAACTCTGTCAGTTAGTCCAAGCTTAATTTTTCCCTGATACAGTTAAACTGGCAAAATCCTAATGTAGAAAAGATGCCACATGTGGCTGGAGCTTATTTTGGCTGCTGATTTGTGGTTTGGTAGGGTGGTGGTATATGCCCTTTCAAACTGGTAAGTCTGTGCACACAGGAGGGTCAGGTTTGCTGTATCAGTTCTGCTGGCATAGTTAAAAATGAAGAGTTTACTTACATACCTTGTTAGTCTGAAGCACTTGGGCTGTTGTTGCCCAGTGTCTTGTCTTGTCTTACTTAAATTACAAGATCTTTGATCAAGGATTTGGTGTGTAAAGTGCTAGTTCTGTATGCGGGATACTTTTCTCTTAGGAGAGGATTTAAATGCAAATCTCAAGTTGGACTTTGGTTTTGTAATGCATGAATGCACAAAGCTTCTTCTAAAAGCCTCTTAGTGATGCTCGGAGCTGTGGAAGTTGCTCACACAACTGATAAAATGCTCTAGAAGGATGTGAAGCACGATGGTCAAAAGTCCCTACTGACCAGCAATGGCCTGGACGGTGTGTGAGAGTGTTCTTTCCTTAACTTCACACTAGACTCCAGAGGTCTTTTGACTTTTGACTGCAATATCCTTGATAAAGATGTCAGAGCTCAGCTGGAAAATACCAGCCAGGGGTAGGTGAAGGACCTGTGCTTAAGCTTTATGTATTTGTGGTGTTGTGCTTGGAGTCAGACTGTGTGTTAGTGAGCACCACCTTGTATCAGCTAGCTGCAACATATGCAGCACACTAAGAATGATCTTGTAGATGAGATTTTTTCCTTGATTTAATATGCAAAAGAGATCTTTGTCTTTGCTGTGTTTTGTAAATTTCTGTGTTAAGGGCTTTGACAATGAAGTGCTGTAATGAAAGTGCTATTTAGAGAGCAATGTAACCCTGTGGGTTGGCCATCTTGCTGTGCATTAAGCTTTAGGATAACAGGAATGACACTGAAGCTGGTACCTAGAGACCTTACTCTTTGTTCTGCCTGAGTATGGGACTAGTAGTGACTTCAGTATTGCTTTGCTGCTGCTTTTCTAAGGTCACCTTCTTTAACAGGGGATTTTTCTTTACTGTGGTAACAGAAGCAAACAAAAGCATCTGGTGGTGGTAGGTGACAGGTTGGACTTGCTGATCTCAGAGGTCTTTTCCAGCCTCAATAATTCTGTGATTCTGTGTTGCAAAGATACTTCTGAAAAAGATGGGAAAGCACTTGAGAAGCATCCATATGTTGGGAAGAAATGGTGCAAAACCCCTCTTTGTAATTATGAAAAATACTTTTGGACATTTTTTGGACACAGAAAAGGATAAGTAAAACTGTAATTACAGTTAACTAATTACAGAGTCACAGACATTTCCTTTCCTTTGTTTGCTTCATATAAATGAGTGAAGTAAATTCACCTAGAATACACTGTAATAAGTGCAGATTTACTGTGTTTAGATTTTGATCAGTTATAAATCTATAGCTACTATATTTTTTTAATGAGTTAAAAATGTGTCTGCAGGATACTTGCACGTATGCACCAAAGGCCCAATCTTGCCACATTTGTCTGAAAGGAGCCCCATTTAACTGGATGGGTGTTTTATTTCTGTAGGGACTGCAGAAACCGGCCCAGACGTGTCTGTGCAGGTGGCCATGGTGTATAGTTAGATATGAGAAGTGATCTGCAAGCCAGAAAGATACTTCAATATATATAAAACAGTCCTTGAGAAGACATACATGTTGCAACATGTTTACTTTCTGGTTAATTTTTCAGGTTGTGCTCAAATAATGATTGAGAGCAGGAGCTTTCAGAGATATTTTTTTTTGGCCTCCCTACCTTGCACAGGGTGCTGGAAAATCAGATTCCTGCCCCTGTGGGGCTGAGTGGAAATGCTGTGGTGGTGGCTTGCTGGAGCAGGATCAGGGGATGGATCCAACCTGCTGCCCTGTTCTCCACAGGTAGCAAATTAATCCTGCCCAGGAGATTTCAGCTGTGTGAGGTCACTCCCTGTGCTGTGTCACTGTGGGGTGGGTGAGCCAGCATTGACCAGCCTGAGCTTCTGCCATCCTGCTTACACGGACAAAGAGAAGGGCTGTTGCAGAAAGGACTCTCCTTGTTTTCTGCCATCATTCTTTTGTATACTGAGCATAAGAAAATACTCTTTTAGGCATTAAGAATTTGTTTAAGGGTGAGGCAATTTTGTTCCCTCTTCTCCCATGCGGTCAAAGCTCCCAAGTGTCCAACCTGAACATTCTCTGAACAGTGGGATACTTGAGTGATAAGAAGTGGCTGCCAGGAAGCCTGGTATGTGTGCTGCACAGTGCTAGGATGTGCACAGCATGTCGTGCTGCCCCCAGAAAAGGCTGCAGGACCCTCAGAAACCCTCTGATACAAAAGTCTGATCTGTCCAAGAGGAAATGCTGTCAGCTGTCTCGTCCCTGAGCTCAAGCTGCAATCTCAGCTCTGTTGCTGAGGTTATGAAATCTGCAACAGGGAGAGAGAAAAATTATAATATTAACGTTTAATCCCCAACTCCATATTATTTCAGAGAATCTTTCAAGAAGTCCCTGAGATCTGCATACACTGGCAATGCAAATTGAGTCTGAAAAATGAGGCTAGGACTGCTTCTTCTTTCTTGTCAGGAGGAAGCTTAGGAATCTGCCAGTGCTTTCATCAAAGGGAAGGAAGTATTTAGTGGAAATAGTTTAGCTGCTTGCTTTCGATTTATGAAATCCAGCTTTGCTGTTGGACAGAATGGATTAAATGGTGATAGGGCCATTTAAATATTTTAGCATATTTCCTGTGATTGCAACAGAGTTGTGAAAGCCAGCTCATGACTTGCAAAGGGAGAGCTGTGCTGTGGCAGCTCCTCCTGCTGCCCTCTTGGCAAGGAGAAGCACCGCAGTGAGTAGATCCATGATGGAAAGGGAATATGGGAGAGTGCAGCCAGAGCTCTGGTTTGGGGACTTCAGTGCTGTGCAGTAACATGACAGTGATGATAGACTCACAGCTTGCAAAGGCCACAAGTATCTCCCCTTCTCCCTGAAAAAAGCTGTCCCCATGCAGCCTCAACGGGTGGTAAATTAAAGGTGGTGTTGACTCAGGATGGTGAGATGTGGCAGATGGAAGGAAATAAACTCTAAGAATGGTCTATTCTGTGGGGGCTTGGTCAGTCAGTGGAAATGTTCCTCAGACCTTCAAGGCAAACACAGTGGTGGTGACACAGCTGCGTGGGCAGCCTGTCCTTGCTTGGCTTTACATGGCAGGAAGGAGCAATCCCTGGCTAGTGCGTGAGGGAAGCTGGCATGGATGAAACAGTGAGATGTGGAGTGAGAGGGAATCTGTCCATTTTAATCTTCTCAGTCCTGGTGAGTTCTCAGCAAAGCTCTGGCTGTAGAAAGCAGAAGGTTGGGCAGTGAAAAGAGAGAGCCCTGAAATGGTCCTTTCCCCCATCTCGCTTGTATCCAAGTGTGCAGGGAACTTTGGAGCTTTTGCACGTATACGAAGCAGGAATCATATCAAAAGTCAGCAATCCCAAAGGGCCAGATTCCCTGGGAAATTCAGGAGAGAGCTGAGGTTTTAGGAATAAAGGAGCCAATACTTATGCTTAGGGCCTTTTCCAAAACCCAGTGAAGTCAGTAGGAATTTCAGAGCAAGCCTCCAGATATGGGCTCTGAGCAGCCTCTTCTTTCTCACTTGATTTCAGATAATTTTTAAATATATTGTAGACATAGTGCAGTAGCAATGTTATGTTTTTAACGGTGTGTGCAAAGGACAAACTTATCTGGAAGCAGAAATGTTGTGACTGCCACTCTCCCTTCAGATTTCAGCACTTTTCATCTTTCCAAACTCATCTATGCAAAGCATTTCATCGTGGTTGTGTAAATCTCCACATCGAGTCACAAATGAACCCTCTGTACCCAACTGCACGTGTGTGAATCACAGGCCTCAAGAAAAGAGGATTTTTTAAAATTTAT